AGAGATTATTCTTGAGTTATATCATAAGCTCTGTGGTTTGGAGGTGATTTTTAATGGACATTTTTTTTGATTGGAACAAATTAATTTAATGGATACTTGTTGAGGAACGGAAACTCATGAGTGTTACAATTGGAATCATGGGTTGTATGATTTTAGACGGTAAACTATTAAAATTTTATCACCAGTCAGACTTAACCAGTTTGGTTCCTAGTGATCATTTTAAGAGAAATAAAGGTGAAGAGGAAAGAGTAGATGGCATGTAGAATATTTTTGAAAGTTATGTTTAAAGGTTTTGAAAGTTACGTTTAAATTTTATTGTTATTAGGTGTTCAGTAAGGATTTTTTTTTATGCCCAACACTTGGAATTCAAAGAAAGAAGAAACACAGTCTGTGTCTTTGAGGGGGAAGAAGTGTTTGAGAATGACTTGATTTGTGTTCCTTCCTTCATAGAGACCTTTAATAAAATATAAAGACTTAACCTGAAAAAAAAGTTTATTTTCTGTATTTTAGCAACTGTTGTTAAGATTTTCTGTGTGATGACTTAACAGCTTTTCCTGATTCCTATAATAACTTTCTCCTCTGATACATGAAGATAAAATGACTTTTTAATGGATATAGTTGCTTTTTTAGCAAAGTGCATTTTGGGTCCTATTTTAAAAAGCAATTAGTGGAAACTGGTTCCTATAGTAGTGTAGTAATACAGTATATTGAAAGCCTGCTTTGAATAGATAAACATATCCTTCTGTTTAATCTTTTCCTGGATTCTTTGTACCTGCTTATCTTGTTAAAGACTTTATGTCCATATTCCATTTTTTTTTAGATTCTTTTCTTTCTGCTGAAATTGTTAAGGTTTGTTTAAAGACTTAAGGAGAAAGATACATCAATTAAACTTCTCTTTAACAGGAGAAAAGTAAGGCTTGTGTGACTTTTTGTCAACAGTTAAAACAGTTTTCACCTTTAAATGTATGCTAGATTCATCACTTATGATGAAAAAATACAATACCAAAATGCAGATGTATCGAGGCTAAAGAAAAGCAATTCCTTTTCAACAAATGAGTTCTAATTTTATTTTTTAGCTCAGATGATTCCAATACAGAGAATTAAATAGCTAAATGAAGATTTAGTCACTTAGAGAAGTTTCACTCTATTAGATGAAGGTAGGACTTACTAAGTCTTAGGTTGACCCAGTCTATCTGTTTGCTTGTCTATGAAAAACCATGACTATGCTTTTTATTGTTCATTCCTCAGGCTTCCAGAACCTCCAGCTGCAGTACCAAACCCTCCATCAAAGGTAAGAAGCTGTGACGAAGATATCTTTGGAGGACTTGGGATAATATTACACTTTTGCCACATAGATTCAGTATATTCTAGTACATTTTAAAGCACACTTAATCCACTGTGCATGGAGTGATATTATGTGGAATGATATTATGTGGGCTGTCCATCAATGTTTTTATTTTTGTGGATTTACCTGAATGACAAAGTGCTATGAAAATAAAATGAGTTGGTTTTAGGCAGATACCTATGTCAAAATATTAGAGATACATAATTAAAATGAAATCTCCTTGAGTGAGCTAGATCCTATAGTTAATCACCAGGAGTATTCTGTGTATAACTGAAACTCATTTTGCCAAGTCTAATTGTCAAGGGCACAGAGGTGCACAGAGCATCATTTTTGCAGCACAGAGTATCCACTGAGCAAGGATGACCACACTTTTTTCTCTGTGCTCGAAATGATGAGTGCAATTTGTGTGTAATCTTTATCTGTCGGTGGAAAACCTCTCTTCTTCCAGATGTTCTCAGACTGCTACCCACAGCTCCTCTGCACCGTGGGCTGTGGCTTGCTTGCATCTGTCTCCCAGATACAGAGAATAGAGAGGCCGGTCATAAACCACACCTGTCGGCAAACAGTAGCATCCCTCAGTCCAGGCCTGCTTGCAGACCAGTGAGCGCTGCTCAGACACAGGGAGATAAACACATGCTCCACTTGTCAGTGTTCCAGTAAAACTTCATTTAGGAAAACAGATGTCTGGCTGGATTTGGCCCATGGGCAGTACTTTGCCAAGCGCAGATTTAGATCTCAGCATCTCATTTCTCCTACATCTCAGCTTCAACTCCTGAATTATTTCAGTTGCTCTCTGAGGTTTCCTGCTCCACTACATCTTCCTGGGGCTCCGGCGTGCGCCTAACAGACTCCACTGGATGGTGTACCATAGTTCAACCCAGCGTAGAACAACCTCTTCTGCTAGTTTTCCTGTCTGTGTCCAGCATTTGGTTGAATTTTACAGTAATAAAGTTGATTGTTTGCAGGAAGTGACGTTCCAGTGCTGTCAGGTATCTTTGCATCTGTGTTGTAATCCGTAGCACGGAGCCCGTCATCTGTAGCACGGAATGTGTTGCATTATTTTCTTACTCTCATGTTTGCCTACGTTGAAGCTCGGCTTCCAGTCCTCACCTGCTTCCATCTTTTGAGTTTATCACCATCAGCTAGTGGAGCAGAATGCCGTCAGTGGATGTGGGGATGTTCCTGCATTCCTTCTTTGCAAATCATTTGTAAGAATAAGACCAATCTCGGCATTAATGTCCGTGTGCTCTGCGGTCTGCCCTTCTCTTTCCAGAACTTACCTCATTTAGTCGGACCTTCTGTTACTGCCTTTCTGAGCCACTTTTCTATTTCTTCTTGAAACATTCCCCAAAAATCCATAGTAAGTCACTCTTTTAAATAATAAAAGTGTAAGTAATGTAACAATTACGTTTTTTCCCAACATATTCAACAACATGCTGGGAATAACGTAAAAACTAGTTAAGTGCAGAGGCTTCCGCAGTTTTTTTCTTTTTCATAAGCACCTGTAACTGGTGTCTTGTTTAATAGTGAACCATCCAAACACTCCCAACAAGTCAGTCATCATCATAGTGAACATTTTTTATTTATAAGGACGTGCCTTCTGTCATAAGCTCTTGCTGTGAACATTTTTTATTCAACTCATCAGTGAGGGGTGAATATGTTTGTAGCTTTCCTCATGGTTACCTGTGAGCTCTGCTCTCCTGGTTGAAGATACTTTTCTAGTAAAAATATGCATCACCTAATACCTGTTGCTGTCTTAATTTAAGTAGAAACATGTATTCTGAAGAAAGTTGCTTGCATATAAACAGTTTGTCTGGTAATACTCATACGTGATAAACTAGTATTTTTCCTTCTCTGTTTCCTAGGGCAGGTCCGTGTTGGGCCTTGTCAACCCAGTGTCTCCACAAAGGGCTTGAAAATCTGTAAAACTCCAAGTTGTGATCCCTGTGTGGGCAATTCTCCATATTAAATATCAAGACTTACCTGCTCTTCTCTGGGCCTTTTACATAATAAATGTGTAACAGTTCCTAGTGTAATGTACATATGAAGGCCCTGGTCTAGCTCTTGACAAGATTCTCACATTCGCTGATTGATGCAAAATGCTCACGTGAAAAGGTGAAAGCATGAGGTGAAGGTTGACTTAGGTGCATTGGGGCCGATGGAAGGAGCACTTGTACAAAAGTTGCAATCTCACCCCAAGTCCTCTGCTAGGATGGACGGGACATCTGGCTTTATTCCTAGATAATTGGCAAAAAATTCAGGGGTTGTAAAAAGTAAGCCCTTTGCAAGATCTGCTGCTCGATTTGGCTTCGATATGGGTCCAGATTGCATATGTTGTTTTTTTAACGGATCGATACAAGTGTCAAGGTGACGTTTGACATCACTTCACTGCTCTAACGTTGCAGAAAGTAAAGTTATCAGATGAGCCTGTAGAAGCAAAAGAAGATTACACTAAGTTTAACACTAAAGATTTGAAGACTGTAAAGGTACGTGTGTCCGAGTGCAGCCGCACACTCTTGATTTCCACAGCTGGTGCTGTGTGCATACATCCAGGAGCGACTGCATGCTTGATTGCGATTTTATCATTTAACCATGAAGAATTATTAACTTGTGTTTCTGTGACTTAAGAATTTTAATTCAAAATTGTGAATGACAATAAAAATGTCAAGCAACGAAGACTTTTTACGAGTAAAGAAGGGCAGTATTCCTACCAGCAGGGGTGTGCCTAGACTTTGCCGTGTATACAGAGTGATGGGATGGGGCAGAGGGAGGGACTCCAAAGATCATTTTTTTGTCAACTCTACTGCCCAGTAGCTTCCCAGAAATTATTATGATAGGGACAAAAATTATTAATAACCCCATAATTCAGTAAGCACCCCAGCAAATATTTTTGTAGCATTTCTTACTAAGCTTTATCTTCTACATCATTATAAATACATGCATAGCTTTTAAAAAATGGCATATATATAGTTTCGGGTTCTGCCCTTTTTATTTAGCACTATATTGTGAAAATGTTCATGTCGTTAATCTTTTTTGAAAAATTATTAATGGTTTCATGGTATTCAGTCATTAGTGTTATTTCACCATATGGAATATAATCTATTTAATCATTCCCCTGTTTTGGACACATAGGTTACTTCTGCTTTTTTGATTTTTTGTTTTAATGTAGTGATAAACATTCTTAGTTATAGTCTGCATCTCTGATTATTTCATGAGACACAATTTAAAACTCAGAGCAAACGCTTAATAAACAAGAGCTCTTTTCATGATTACTGAGATACATGTGTATATCTGAAATGCCTTCCAAAAATGTAGCAGAAATCTGTACTTGCCATCATTATTGCTGATAAGTATTCATCTCACATTTCGGGGAAGGCGTAATTAGGTTTATTTATTTTCAGAGGAGGTACTGGAGTCTGAACCTGGGACCTCGTGCATGCTGAGCTTGCACTCCACTGCTGGAGCTGTACCCTCCCCCGAGTCTCACATTCTTGACAACACTGAGTATTATCTTCATTCTTAAAAATTTTGCCTCTCTAACGAGGCTACATTTCTTTAGCTAGAAAGGTTGGTGGTCCTTCCAAATGCTTATTACTCATCTGCATTTTTGTGAAGTGCCAGTTCATGTCCCACGCCTGTTTCTGTATTGGGATAGTAATACTTTTCTTGTTCATTTGTAACAGCTCATTCTAAATTAAGGCTGTTAACACTTTTCATGATATATAGGGCACAGATAATTTAGTTGTTTAGTAGGTTTAGTGTTTTCATTTGACTTTTTAACTATTTTAAGGTTTTCTGAGGATTAAATATAGAAATTGTTTTTCTCTATGATTTTCGTATTATTTTTATGCTTAGAAAAACCTTGCCTGTCCCAAGATAGGTTAACTTCCACCTAGATTTTAATACTTGCTCCCCTTAGAGTTAATATTTTTAAAGAATTGTTTTCTTTAACCTACATGTCATTTATCTGGGCATGGAAATCTCTTGGCTTTCTGTAGGCAGGGACATTTCTGAGTTTCTCTGTGAGAAGTACTGTCCCCTCTTCTACGTGCCACTTCCCATTGTATCTGCTTGAGCACAGCACAGTGAGACGAGAGTTTGGACCAGGATGCCAGTTAAATGCAGGGGATAGAGGATGACTTGTCTCAAGACTCACTTTTCTCCATCGCCAAAAAATAAGCCTGCTAAATTATGTGACAGAATGTAAAAAGCAGGTTTTTAGGGATCATATGCTGACTGTGCCCTTAAAAGGTACTTTGACAATGACTTTGACTCACAGTTCCTGGGGAGAAAGATGATTTTTACTGATTCCCATCATTTATGCTTGAACACGTTGAGATGCACTGAAGTAAAATCTGCTGCTCTTTACCTTCTGCCAGTGCTAGCAAAACAAAACAAAAACAGTAACCAGGAAGAGAGAGAATTTTAAAAGGCAGAGTTATTTGGAGTCAGCTTTTTGGAAAGTATTTTTTTGTTGATGGAAAAGTGGGGCAGCTCTCCTGCTGGTCCTGGATGCTTCAAGGTACAGATTATCTTTTGCATTTAATAGCCTTGTCCTTGGTTTCACATAGAGCCTATGAATAAAATCAGACGGTAGATTGTTGTGAATTATTCATTGTGTGGCGATACAAGGCTGTAATTCCTCCCTCTGACAAATGCTGCCTCTGTCAGTTCCATTGTTTGTGTTACTGTCCTCAGTGCACCCTCCAGAATTATTTCCCCTAAAGTAAACCATTGGTTGTGACATTCCACTCCTTAGAAGGTGGCAGTTTTATCTCCTGTCTCTTTTAACATATTTTGTCTCTTAGGTCTGAATTCTGAATAGAAATCAGAACTTTTAAAAATAATCACTCTTTAAGAAGCAAATGCTTACCTCCACTAATGAACGTTGAGGCATGCAATGGTCTTGCTTGATTTGCATGTGTGATTTATAAATGTTACATTCGTAACAATTTTTCTCTCATTTTCATTAACAGAAAAATAGCAAAATGACTGCAGCTCAGAAGGCTTTGGCTAAAGTTGACAAGAGTGGAATGAAAAGTATTGATTCCTTTTTTGGTGCAAAACATGTTAAAAAAATTGGAAAGATTTGAAACTTTGAATATGAAATCTAGCAAAAATATTTGCCTTCTACATGTTTTATTTTCATCCTTCCTCCATGCCACTGTACTCCCTCACCTTTAATTACCACCTTTGGAAAAAAAGTAGAGGTGAGGGGCAATTTTCAGATTCACTTAAACATTTCTTTGAACTTGATTTTTGTGTTCCTGAACAAAATATGGGAAAGTAATTTTATAACTTCATGGCTTGTGGCCTTTGGAGTTTTGTTTGACATCATGAAAAGTAATCAAGTGGATAGAATTAATCTCTAGCATCACATTTCCTCAATAAACTGACATGTGACAATATCTGAGTGTATGCCTGTTATTTAATGCAGCTTTGCACATGGTAGCTGTAGCAATGCGGTTTTCAGTAATACTGAGAGAAGTCAGATAACACAACTATCTACTTTTTAAAAGCCTTTAGTTTTTGATAAATCTTTTAATTAATGTATTTTCTGTTTTATGAATACATATTCTTTGTACAAAATAGAGAAAAGTATAAAACAAAAATTATAATCTCCTAGCTTTTCCTTACCCAGAGATAATATAGTGTATTTTCTTTTATAATGATTTTTAAAGGAATTATAATAGTAATTTTATAAACTTTTTCTTGACGTCATTTTGTGATCATTTTCCCAGGCTACTAAAGTATTCTTCATGAATATGATTTTTTTAATAACAGTAATTTAAAATTTTTTGAATGCTTGATTATTTAATGACCAAGACCCTATTTTGGACATTTACATTATTTTCAAATATTTGCTGTTGGAAGAATTAGATTATATGTAAATATTCACATCTTTTATAATTTCCTTAGAATGGATTTTTAGATGTGGGCTTACTGATTCATAACTAAGTTTTCCAAATACGTACTTCTGGGAATATATTTCACCGAGAGGTTATAGGAACATACTGTCTAACAAATGATGGTATGAGTTCTTATCTTATTCAGTGCCATCTTGTTAGCTTTGATTGTTATCTTTGTAAATAAGTGGAAAAAAGGCACTTTATTGTGGTTTTAATTCACATTTTCCTGATTAGTAATGTCAACTGAAAAAAAAAATCTAACCTAAATCTTGAGAATTCTGCTTTATTCGGGGAACTTAATGAGGATTATAGCTGGGAGACAGTCGCCTTTCAGATAGCTTTGAGGAACTGTTCTAAAGAAGTAAGGGAGGAGCCAGGATATACAGGAATTTTTCCCGGGGTGGGGGGAAAATATATATATATAGTCAGACATCAAAAGATTACTGCTAATCAGACACAGAAAACATCAGACATTTCAAGTTAACGATTTTAGTGCTTTTCTGTGTATGGTAAGATGCAAGAGTCTGGGCTCATTGAAATTACTCATTTTATATGCACCTTAGAAATCTAGGACCAGTATCCTGTATTTTTCCATCCTGAATCCCCTCAGGGCACACCTTAGGGGGCCGCTGATGGCTCGATAGTGGGTAACATTTATCGTGTACTGAAATGCAGGTGACTTTTTTTGTCCACAGTAATAATATTGTTTGTTTTTTCACAATTTACCTACCACTTACCATTTTATAGAGAATTATTTGTTTATGTCCTCTATTAAATTATTGGAGTGTCAGTATATTTCTCATTTATTCTAAAAGTATTCTGTAACTCTCATTTATTCTAAAAGTATTTTTTGTCCACCATGTTTATTGAAAATTTTTTTTTAGTTTGTAATTTGTCTTTAATTTTGTATATTTTTTTGTCATGGACATATTTTAGTTTTTACGTAGACATACACAGGAACTTCTCCTTTACATAGATGTTATACTTAGAAAGTTGTTTCCCTTTATAGGAAAGGTTAACTAGTCACTTATGTTCTTCTATTTTTTTTTTAAGTGAAGTATAGTTGATTTACAATATTATGTTAGTTTCTGGTGTACAGCATAGTGATTCAGTTATACATATATATTCTTTTTCATATTCTTTCTCTTTATAGGTTATTACAAGTTATTGAATACAGTTCCCTGTGCTATACAGTGGGACCTTGTTTATCTATTTTAAATATAGTAGTTTGTATCTGCTAATCCCAAACTCCCAATTTATCCCTCCATTCCCCTTTGGTAACCATCAGTTTGTTTTCTTCTAATTTTTAATGGTTAATTTTTTTGTTTTATATTGAATTACTTAAATCATCTAAAAAATTTCTATTTAAATATGCTGCAGGATAAAGCTCTAATATGATTATTATCTCACTTCTTTATTTTTTCCATTAGATTTGTAGGATTATTTTGCCAGATTTTAAGAGTAAATTCTAATGGGATTTTTATTGAGATTTTTGTTAGACCCATGAATTATTTTGAGAAAAACACATCTTTACAAAATTCAGTGTTCTTATTCATTAATATAATATTTCTCTACATTTCCTAAAATCTTAAACATATCTTTTGCCAGCATTTGGTTCTTCACCTTCATGTAGGTTCTAGATACCTCTTTTAGGAGTATCTCTAGGTATTTTTGTTGCTATTAAAGAAATCTTTTGTTTCAGTTATATCTTCTAACTGGCTATTTTGTGGTAAGTTTTTACATTTTCATATATTTGTATCTTAAATAACTAATTTAGTAAACTATTATTTTAATTTTTAATTTTATTCATATTGGATTTTCAACACATAGTAAGGTACATAATCTTACTTTTTAAAAATTTGTGTGCAATTCTTTATGATAGGTGTACCTCTTTTAGATCATATCTTATGAGTGAGACTATCTAGAACAGTATTGAAGAGTATATGTGATAGTAGTTATCTTTGTCTAATTTGTGATTTTATTAATGTGCGTTACCGTTAATTCTGACACTAGCTGTTGTTAATGTGATAAAGAATATCTATCTTTGGTATTTCCTCTTATACTTACTTTCCATAAAGTTTTAATTAGTAATTGGTGTTGGTTGTTATCAGATCTCATTTTGGCACCTCTTGAGATGACTGTGGAGTTTTTATCACAGTTAAACTCTGCCTGAGTCCGTACACTACACCCTACCTGGCTGTAGGTAAAGGCGAGCATAGTGGATGCTCCATCTCTGGTTTAACTATTGTCAAATCTAGTTCTCAGGTAGGTTTTCTAGGCTTTTATTTAAAATTTTTGCAACTGTATTCAAAAGCAATATTGCTATTAGGTTTTAGTGTTACAATTATGCTAGCTTTCAACCTTTCCCAATGTTCTGGAAGGAATAATTTTGCATAATAATACTCTTATTTCTGGAAAATTTTAGAGAACATCAGTGGTAAAACTGTCCAGCACTGAGCCTTCTTTTATTGTCTTTATTCTGGAAGAATTACTCACCTGTTTCTTGTCTTACTTGACACTCTTGAAGAGTGCAGACTGGTTATTTAGTAGAATGTTCCTCCCTTTGAGTTTGCCTAATGTTTCCTCTTGATTTGATCCAAGTTTTAGCGTTTGGGCACCCACAGAAGTAATAATGTGTCTTTCTCAGTGCACCACGTCAGGAGTCACATGATCCAATACCATGGATGTTCACTTTGATCACTTGATTAAGGTGGTGTCCACCAGGTTTATCCACCGTAGAGTTATTATTTTTCTCTTTATAATTAATAAGTAATTTGTGGGCAAGTACTCTGGGACTTGTAAGTATCCTACTCCTCATCCAACATTCACCCACAGGTTTTAAAATGAAACTACTGATGATTTTTCCAACTCCATCACTTCTTCTATATTTATTTCTTTCACATTTAGTTGGCTTTTTTCTAGAAGGAAGAGTTTTCCCTTCTCTACTTATTTATTTATTTATGAGCTTGTATCAGTATAGACTTGTAGACTATTTTATCCAGTGAGTAAATTACATTATTCTGTTCCTCATATGGTCCCAGAAGGGCTAGTGGGAGTCCCTGCAAGCTGGCTGCTGTTATCTTTTTGGTATGTTTCCATTTTTTTTATAATACTTCATTACTTCTTCTACAAGAAGGTATTCCAGGCTCTTTGTGTACTTTCCCTGCCAAGCCCTGGAATGAGCCTTTTCCTCCCAAGAGGCCAGGGTTTCTTTTAGAGGAGAATGGCATTTAGAAACCAAGATCCAGGCAAGAGGTGTGATCGTTGCTACTAGTGACCTCTGTGTGTGGGTTTCTGTACATTTCCTGTATCAGGCTGAAGAGGTTCTCTTCTCAGTTCAGTGTGAGTTTTAATCATGAAAGGGTATTGAATTTTGTCAAATAATTTTTCTTTATCTATTGAGATGACCTCACAGTTTTCCTTTAGTACAGGAATATCTTTTAGTATGTGAAATATAATGATTGATTTTTGAATGTTAAACTTTACATTCCTAGGATAAACCCTGCTTGCTTTTTTTGTATATGTAATTGTGTTTTGTTTCCTAACATTTTGTTAAGGATTTGTGTATTTCCATTCATGAGGGATATTGATGTATAGTTTTCCTTATTTGTTGATTTTGTCTAGTTTTGGCGTCCGAGTGAACTGGCCTTATAAAATGAATTGAGCAAAGTTCACCTGTTTTCTGAAAGAATTTTTGTGAGATTATTTTTTCCTTTTATGTTGGAGAGATTCACCAGAATTTTTTCCTTTTATGTTTTATGGGCCTGGAATTTTTTTTTTTCTGGGAAGTTTTTAACCACTAATTCAATTTCTATAATAGTTAGAGAGCTATTCTAATTTTCTCCTTTTTCTTGTGTCAGTTATAGTAATTTATGTCTTTCAAGAAATGTGTCTGTTTGATCTAGTTGTCAGACTTACTGGCGTAAGTTGTTTCTTATATATTAGCCTATTTGTGTCTGCGAATCTATGGTGATATTCCTTCCTTCATACCTGAGTTAGTCATTTGTGTCTCTTTTTTGTTGTTTTGGTTATTTTCATCAAATTTAGAACATTTCTGGTCAGTAGTTCTTTAAATATTTTTCTGTTCTCCCCCCCCCCCTTTGTCCCCACTCCTTTGACTTCCAGGACTCCAATTACATGTATGCTAAACCACTTGATGTCCCATGGGTCCTTTTAACTGAGTTTCTATTCTTCTTCTTTATTTTCAGTTTTATTTTGTCTTGTATTTTCTTCTTATATTTTCAATTGCATTTTGTCTTTAATCTCAGTTAGTGAATTTTTATTTCATATGTTGGAATTTTCAGGTCTAGATGTTCCATTCAGTTGTTTTTTATATCTTCCCATTTCTCTCATCATTTGTGTTTTTCTTTAAATAGTTCATTATAGTTACAATAGCTGCTTAAATGTTCCTATTTGCTAATTCCAACATCTCTGACATTTCTGTGCCTATTTCTTTTCTTTTGTCTTTACTGTTTTGTTTTGAATTAGACTTACGGGAA